CGAGGGGGCCGGGCGGGGGTGGGGTGGAGAGAGCTGCGCGGTGGCTTTGGGAAAAGTCAGCCCAGAAACGCGTGTCACTGAAGGAAGAAACCTCGGCTTGGTCTGCTCCTCGCGCTCGCAGTGCGCCTGGGCCGGGCTGGGGCGAGGGCGAGGATCGCCGGGGAGAGGTGTCGGGGGCTCCGCCTGAAGCCCCTCCGCCTTTTCTGGAGCCGTCCCTGGACCTGGGAACCAGACCCTCCTCAGATTGCGAGTGGCACTCTTACCGCTGGGACGCGTGCTTTAGACTCCATTCTACTCCTGCTCTGTGTCACAGAGGCACGGAGGTGGCCGCCGTGGGGCTCGGGGGAACTGTGTGTACGGGCACTGGTATCACATCTAGAAGGCAGGGGAGGGCCTGCCCAGGTGCGCGTGTGCTGGTGCAAACCACAGGTACGCACGTGTGCAAGCTGTGAGCGTTAGGAGGCAAAACATGTACAGATATGTAATGATATGTGTATCACATATCAGAGTGAATGTGGCTCAAGGATATTGCCTCTTCTTTCTTTTTCCTCTCTCCACCCCTCTCTCTTTTCTCCATTCGTTCCTCCCTTCTTCCCCCTTGCCCTGCTTTCTTTTCTTTCTCAATTCTTCCTGCCTCCATTGCTGCCAGTGTATATATTTTATCACAGGAAGAAAAACAGGCTGTGAGGGCGACACTTATTTAATTCTCCCCCCTGACATTTATTCTGATCTTTCTCCAGGGTTGAGGGGTGAGTTCTCACCTCCCTTCAGCAGAAGTCTGATTGGGACCCAGTTACATCTGCATGTGCGGACATTGTCTCAGGGGAAGTCCGAGCTGGCAAAAAAGAAAGCCAGGCATGCCTGACTTACTAGTTAACGGCCTTAACAAAAATTCTGTCCTTAGACGCGTGAGTCCTCCTGCCCCAAACTCCTGGGCGGGAGGGGGCAGGGATTCTTTGTAGAGGAAGGTGGAGGAATGGATGTTCTGCAGGTGTGTGTTAGTGATTGGCATGTCTGGATTGGTTGGCCCAATGCCTGTCACCACCTCGTCCTCTCCGGCTGCCCAGTCTCTGAGGAAGTCACAGCCCACCTGCATGAGCTGCTACTTCCCACTGGCCTCTGAAGCTGCATTCTGAGGTTAAAGGAAAGGAGGACAGGGTGATGGGGCTCTTGGAATCCAGCATCCTAAAGGTGAGGTTCCTCCAGAGAGGTCAGCAGAAACGCCCGGTCTGACCACCACAGTAAGAGGGTGCAGGGCTCTCTGAACTCATCTCAGTAGATACGCTTCCACCCACCATTGAAAACAAAACAACTCATCAAAGCTGGGTGGGTGTCTCCCACTGCTCCCAGCATACAGCCGGGCAAAGCGGCACTCCTTCACATCCTCTGTGCCTGCTTCCTGAGCAGGCATGCGTGTTTTTCTCCGTCCTTACTCCATGAGCGCCTAGGCTCGGAGTGGGAACTCGGTTTGGGCTGCTGAAGATTGCATGCCCGTCATCCCGTAGTGTAGGGCCTGGGGGCAGGGCAGCCCCAGCTGCCCCCACCCTGGATACTGCTGTCTCCTTTCTTTTCCTCTGACCACCCAGGCTGGCTCTCTGCCCCTCTTTCCCCCGGGCAGGCATTTCCGCTTCTGGCCAGCAGCAGCCAGGTGTAACAGCATTGTTGTGTGTGTCATCACTTCCCCGGATTCCAAACCCGGCTCCCTTTTCAGCCTTTTAAGGCGTGTGTGTGTGTGTGTGTGTGTGTGTGTGTGTGTGTGTCTGTCTCGGGGGTGGGGGTAAAGGAAGGAGTGCCTCTAAAGGATTTTCTGAGTGTGAGAAAGGAGTCCTGCTCTCCCCAGGTACTGATCCCTCCAGGAGGCGGCGAGGCGCGCCTGCGTTTGCTTCTGCACCTTCTGGGGCAGGCTGGGCAGGGCCCGCTTCCCAGCGAGGTCAGGATCCCTTGTGGCCGGACGGGCTGTGCCAAGGCTTGAGCGGGGCTCCAGGCCTGGGCCCTCTCCCCGCGGCGTCTCGGCGACTCAGGACCCTGTCTCCTTGACCTCGGGTGGTGCCCACCTCCAGGGACCCGGCA